GTCGTTGGACTCGGGCACGTTTGTACATATGACAGAATTAGGAGTAGGGCTACTCGTTATTCGCTTAGACGAACGCGGATGTGAAGCGGTAGCAAGCTTACTCGGTGGGAGGGCCTCCGTCGGAAGCGTTGGTCGTCGGCGAGTGTTGGGCAGACCAGCAGTTGGTAATGGTGAGACGGTACGTGATTCAAGACGGTTGGGAAGTTGCTGTCGTCGTTTGGCTAGACCGTCGACTTTCCGCAGTAGATTCAAGTTCAAGTTCAGTTGGGACCGGAAAGATAGGATAATCCCGTGAATGTTCCTTCTTTCGCGTATCGTCGGATCGGGAACTGACAGGTCTGCCTGAAATGTTGAAAAGCCTAAAACAAAGACCGCATCACACCCTGTCTAACCAACTACTGCCCACATTTTCCTGCCCAGCAGTCCCTGCCAGGCAGGTTTATGGGAAGTAAAAGAGTGAAGGGTAAGCTAAGAAAACAGAAATATCAGCTAAATAATGATAATACCAAGGTGAGAAGGAAAATAAAAAAGAACGAAGGGAAAGTTGAAGATACAAGTCGGTTAGGAGAATGGGAAGGTTTGGTACTGCCACCCAAGAGCGTCTAACTGACGCTGGAAACCCTCTATCGTAGACTCCCTAACCACGTGCGTCGGAAGCGAGTTCCAACGTTCAATAACTCGACGCGACAAGTGAGTTTCCGTCCTTACCCGGTCAGAACGCTGTTTGTGCAGCTTCAACGGGTGACCTCGGAGATTAGGCAGCTTGGCGGGACTAAATAGCCAGGACAAGTCTGGGCCGATCTTATCCGTTAAGATACGGTAAGTGAGGATCAAGTCTCCTCTAATTCTGCGGTAGTGCATTGAGTACATACCCAAGCTAAGCAAACGTTCGGGATACGTTTGCCCCCGTAATCTTTGCACTAACCTTGTATTTACTCGCAAAATCTTCCCCAGTTCCATTTTGTCCCTTACAATGTGAACAAACCTGGATACAGTACGCTAAGTGAGGTCGCACAAAAGCTGAGAACAGCTTCACAAAAATATTGGCCGTTAGGACACCGAAGGAGCGGCGAATAAACCACATCATACGGAACCCTCTACAAGCAGCCTTCCTTCAATTTTCCCCAGAATGAAGCAATGAGGTATGGGTGATACCTAGATCAACCTGCTGAATGACAACAGGGGGTTCACTTCCACCAACTACATAGCGCGTGGGAGGAACAGCACCTCCAATGCGGAGGACAGAGCATTTCGCCTGATTTATGGGCATCAACCATAAGGCTGACCAATCCCAGAGTCTATCCAAGACACTCTGAAGTGCCTCAGAGCCACCAGGGATATCCACAATATTCCAGAGCTTGAGGTCCTCAGCAAACAATAGCGACAGTACTCCAAGCTCCTGGGGTAGGTCATTGACATAAATTGCGAAAAGCAACGGCCCTAGAACCGAGCCCTGCGGAAGGCCACTAAGGACAGCTTGTCTAAGCGAAAGGCTACGCCCCACGCGTACACACTGTTCTCTGCCGTCTAGGAAAGCAGAAACCCATTTGAGGGCGGCTCCGGATATCCCATATGATCTCAACTTCAATGAGAGTCGTTAATGTGGGGCAGTATCAAAGGCTTTCGAGAAGTCAACGAAAAGCACGTCGATGGCGTGACCCTTGTCTACTGTATCAGCCCAGCTTTCACGAGCTACAATTAAATTTGTCAGACATGAAAATCCCTTACGGAATCCGTGCTGGGCCGCGCTGAGAAGGTTAAACTTAATCAGGTGATTCTCCACCGAATCCCTGACCAATTTTTCAAACAATTTAACTACTACACTTGTTAAGCTGACAGGCCGGTATTTCGCGGACAGATCTCTGTCACCGCCCTTAAAGATTGGACAGATGATTGCCTTCTTCCATTCCGAAGGTAAGGCACAGCTGTCGAGTGATATTGTAAACATGCATGTCAGAGGGCCACTTAGCTCAGCGGCCAATTCAAGCATCAGCTTCGGATGAATTGAATCAGGGACAGAAGCCTTGGAAGGATTTAGCCCTTGCAATAGCTCGAAGACTTGTGTCTCCGTTATGCTGATTTCAGTTAGATAAGAATCCTCCGGAACTTTTGTGACCAGCTCAAGCTGAGGTAGAGAAGTCTCATGCGAAAAGACACCAGTATATTGTTCGCTAAGTATACAGGCATTATCAGTCGGTATGCCATGGGTCCCGTCCGCTCGTAGTAAAGCCGGTATAGACGAGTTTGTACCGCTACGTCACTTTACGTAAGCAAAGAACTTCCTTGGATTTGTTACGGCTGCGTTAGCCAAATCCTCCTCGTACTGAAGACGAAGATTTTTAAGATGTTGCTTACATTTATTTCTAACCGCTTGATAGCTTTCGTAGGTGCTGGTTGATGAAGCCACTTGTAAGTTCACCAGCACTTAGAGCGCTTCCTGAGCAGGTATTTATCTGTATGATCTATCCATGGAGGCTGCGCCCGTGTCACCCTTCTCTTGGTGAGTGGGATGTGGGGAGCAGAGATCTCGGTGAGGTATGCCTTAAATTTCTCCCAGGCTGTCTCAACGGTGTCAGCCACGGTGATCGCACAACGCAAAACTGAAGCTTTGTCTCGCATTGTGTTAAAGTCTGCTCGCCAAATATTTGGACATGCCTCAGCGGTAGCTTGATGACACTTACTTAGAGCACATCGAAAGGATATGCAGACATGGTCACTTGCTCCTAGAGGACAGTCGTAGGTAATATCACTTACGAAATCGTGGGACTTCGCAAAAATGAGATCCAAGGTAGACGGAATTTGGTTGCGCATATATCTAGTCGGGAGGTCCACGAACTGATGCAAAGGCAGTTGCAATGTTAGCTTAAGGAGATCCGAACCGAAAGTGCCCACCGCCGAACTGCAAGATAGATCAGACCAGCAGACTTCAGGGAGGTTGAAGTCACCCAGTATTAGACATCTACTGGCAGCCTGAGTACGAATAAATTCAATAAGCTCTCTGGAGATACTTCCAGGACTTCGATATACCACTACAACTGTAAACTGAGCAGAGGAAGTGCACAGAATAGTCGAGAGGGCTTCAACCGTTTGATCCGGTGACTGGAACACACAAGTCCTCAACACATCGAGTTTAGAACTCACATAAAGAGCGACGCCCCCCCCCCTTGGCGGCCAACGGAGCGACCGCATCTAAACAGTGCGTAGCCAGGAAAACATACTTCACCGTCTGTGATATCCGGGGACAGCCACGTTTTGGTGATAGCAAGTATCTCGGGACAAGATTTGTCTACAAGTAGACCCACCTCGTGTACCTTGTTCCTTAGGCTACGCACATTACTAAGCACTACCCGAAGGAACTCGGCACGACCAGCCCTGGGTCGTACACTACCAGGAGGTTCTGGTAGGGCAGAATTTGACTTCCGGCTGACCACCTGAAAACTCACAAGACGAAGGCCTTGCTCACCAGCCGCACGCCTGCTTTTGAGGCTTTTGATGGCTTCCTTTAACTTCAGTCGATCTGCCAGTGGGAGGTCCGACTGAACGCTGACATTACTACCCTTGAGTTTGAATGCAAAGCGCATTAAGGCTTTGCGTTCCTCCGGGGTTGAGAGTACTACACGAAGTAGTCGGGGTCGCGGATTCGGCGTGTCTACAGGGACGTTCCCCAATCTGGTTAGTTTCCTGATAGTGACACCGGGGAAACCATGTGGAAGCATCACGTTGACGCAGAGCTTGAACCACTGGAGGTCATGCAGCATGCGTTCCTTTAAAAGATTTGCCGCGGATTCAGCAACGTTACGAAAAATAACGCTACTATCAGTAAAAGAATCACCTCGACGAGGCGTATTCACTCCACAAGTCTTCGACGCGACCCCAGTTTCGACAGGTTTGGCAGATGACACGGCGCGTTTCTCCGCTAAGTGAGCTGCAGTATTTGAGGTTGAGGCTTTATTCTCTGCCTCCAGCTCCCTCACCGGTCTAGTCTTTTCAGACTTTGCGGGTGTGGCCAAAGTCGATACGGCGCGTTGCTTCGCCAATGGAACTGGGGTGATTGGAGTTGAAGCTTTGTGTTCCAACTTCAATACCTTAAAGTTTTCAGTAACCTCAGGCTTTGAGGCAGCCTTATGGACTTTCTTGGCCCTCTTCCTCTTGCTTTTATTGGGCCCAGGGGCCATAAGTTCGGTTTCGATTTGGACAACTTCCAGAGTAAGCAAGCGCACTTCTGAGAGAGTATTGTTGCTAAGCGGCTCGACGAATCGTGGTGACCGGGGCGACTGCGTCTGCGACTGCTTGTTACGCGGTGTGGAGGGCGGGTTAGTGGGAGACGAGATTACAGAACCAAGCATAAGGCAAGTCGTGGAGGAAAGGTCGCACGAAATATCCCACACGTAGTTCGCAATTCTGAGATTGCAAACCGGGCAAATGTACCGCAGGACCGCCTGTGGATGCAAGCGACAGAATTCGATGTCAGCTGCATGGAGCGAATTGTCACAGGCTGCGTGAACACGGTGAAGACAAATCGAGCAGGTGATGGCCATATCCATCTTCAAACTTTCAGTTCTTATTCTGTCATTATCTTCACTCTTTGGTGTTATCCTTCATTTTAATGACTTTCATTCCCCTTTATCTTCCATTTACTTTCTACTTCTTTCTTACTTCACGTAACCTACACAGCGCGGACTGCTAGTGCAGGGAACGTGGGCAGTAGTTGGTTGATCAGGGTGTTTCGGGTGTTTCGTTTTAGATCTATCAAGGACTAACACCTTATCATTTCCTGGCTCAACGATTTGCTCAAGAAGGAACGCTCAAGAGAATTTCCTATCGTCCCAGTCCATCTGAATCTGAATCTGGCTTTGGATCGAGGTCCTACACGCGGAATGCAGATAGAGCAGGTGTTCAGTGGTCTCATTGGCGTAGTGGGCGAGACCGAGAGGATCAGCGTGGTCAAACAGATGACGTACAGATGACACAAATATCTGCAAATAAACGTAGTGGATTACCTGTCTCAGAAGCAGAACGCACGGGAGGTCGCTATCCGCAGAGCGAGAAAGCGCACGATGGTTGGCTAATACAACACCAAAGACAAAACGGGAAAGCAAAGGAAAGAGGAAATGACTCTCACAATATAGGCTACGCTCGACAACACACCAGTTGATTTGCAACTGAGAAACCAACGCACCGCAAGCGACAGACAAACGCAATATGGGAGGAGCGCGAGGAACCGATAGGTAATATTTTTGATTAACCGTTACCGAGCGCGGAGCGTCGGATCCGTCAATCGAGATCAATGATCTTTTCACGGGTTTCACGGGTTTGCGCAGAACGAGTAAGCGTAGCTTTTCGGTGGTTCTGCCTCGGGATCTTACGGCAAGGTCCTGATCTCGTCGGTAGGTACCAGATGTTGTGGGTCTCGACGCAGCAGTGGTGTTCAGCACAAGTATTCAGCGAGTTGACTGTGGGAACGTGGATACCTGGAACAAGTGAGTGGTGTAGGTAAATTCGGCAAAGTTGGATAGAAGCAAAATGATAGAAGCGTCGCGTGTTAGCTTGGCAACTGGCCAGATCTTAGCAACGTGGAAGACCAGCGAGGTAAAAGCCAAGCGTCTAGGCGCTGTTTGAAGGCCTCCGTATTGGGCGCTGAGACAACAACTTCAGGGAGGGCGTTCCAAGCGAAGGCAATACGCACACTGAAACCGTTTCTTTGGCACAGAAGGCGACTGCTACGAGTCATCAGTTTGAGTGAGTGCCCTCGAAGATGATCCGTACGAGCGCGGACCAACAATCCTGCGTCTGGGTGCCTGTTATTAGTCAGGACGGAATAAGCTAAGGTCGCCACGAAGCCTGCGATATTTCAACGGGAAGAGGTTAAGGGCCGCCAGACGCTCCTCATACGAGATGTGGGATAGTCCGTCCACTCTCTTAGTGGCTCTGCGCTGTACAGTTTCCAGCATGGCCTCGTCCTTCTTTAGGTACGGCGGCTGGACAGGTATGTTGTACTCCAGCAGCGGACGTACTAAGGTGCTATAGAGACGGACAAATGTCTCTCTAGGGAAAGACCCTAGTGCACGTCCAAGGAGGGCCAGGCGAACGCTAGCCTTTCGCGCCAGTGTAGCAACATTGGCGCTCGGGCTCAGGTCGGCGGATATTATGGTCCACAGGTCGCGTTCCTGGGATGTGGCTTTAAGATGCACACCGCCGATATTTTACGGATTAGCCACACCTTGCCCAATGTGCATGACTTTGCATTTGTCGATGTTAAACGGGAGCGAATTTTTCGAGGCCCAAGGATAAGCAACATCGATATCTGTCTGGAGAAGTGCCTTATCACTTGGCCTGCGGATAGGTCGCCATATCTTAGCGTCGTCCGCATAAAGCAGTATGTGGCTGCTGATACAGGATGGGAGGTCGTTGATGAACAGATTGAACAGCAGGGGCCCGAGGATGGATCCCTGGGGCACCCCGGTCGTTGCAGCCAGAGCGCTGGAGAGTGCGCCATTTACACGAACTCGGTAGGTGCGGCCAGACAGGTAGGTACTTAGCCAGCAGATTGTTTGCTGGTCGATCCCCAAACTCGGCAGTTTACTCAACAGCAGTGCGTGATTGACCCGGTCGAATGCTTTTGAGAAATCCACGTAAACCATGTCAGTTGGAGTATGACTGTCTGCCGCTGCAGTCCAGGAATCAAGAGCTGCGAGAAGATTCGTGGTGCACGAGTGGGCCCTGCGGAACCCGTGCTGTTCCGGGGCTATTAAGGACAGACTTTCTAAATGGCAGCGCAAGAAATCGTCTACGATACTCTCCATGACTTTGGAGGCAGTGGGAAGCAGTGCTATCGGGCGATAATTAGAGGGGTTTGTCCTGTCACCACCCTTGTATATCTTCGTTATGACCCCTTGCTTCCAAGCATTCGGGTATTCGGCACTGGTGTAGGAGCCGCTGTACAGTAAGGCAAGCGGCTCGGCCATTACCGTAGCGCACTCACGTAGAAAAATGGGAGTGATCCCATCCAAACCCGGCGATTCCTCTGTCCTTAATTTTTTTAATTTCTCCAGTGCTTTAGCGTTGAGCGTGACGTTCGCCACCACACGAAAACTGATAACTGCATGATCACTTGCACCAACTGGGGCGCTCAAATTAACGTTGTCAATTAGATGTGGCTCGTTGGTGAGCAGCAAATCGAGTTTCGACGGGTTTTGACCGTCTCGCCACCGAGTGTACTGCTGTACGTGTTCGGTTAGGCCATGTTCTTGAACACTGGCAAGAAACTCAAGACGGTGCTGACTGCGAGCTTGGCCAGAGGTAAAGTCTATCTCCGGGAAATTAAAGTCACCTGCGACGAGTAGGGGGGCACCCAAATCTGAAGTAGCTGCTCGGAGTGCGGCGTTCCAGCACCGCAGCCATTCTGGCGCAGCTGAGGGACGGCAATAAACCACTCTAAGGGTGAGACTGGTGGAACCAGAGCCGCGGACGCTAATCCAGCGGGATTCGGGAAGCGATAGTAGTTCCGGAGATTTGAGGGGGACGCATGTGAGGCGGTCTGATCCATACACAGCTACGCCTCCGCCTTTGCCACTTTCACGATCGTTTCGAAAGAGCACGTATCCCGGGACTGCTATCTCGGCGTCCACAACGTCTGGGCAGAACCAGGTTTCGGTTATACATATAACTTTAGCTTGCGTGTCCAGCGCAAGGGAAGAGATTTCGGACACCTTGTTCCGTAGCGATAAAGCGTTGGTGTACAAGCAGTTCCACGTGCTAACATGAACTGCTGGCGGGCAGTGGCTTGAAGGCATAGATGGTAGGGTAGTTCCCGTGCGGTTTGCGCCGACCCCACAGGGGCCGGCGCCTACTCGTTTTTTGGTATATCCACAAGTCGCGTAATAGGTAGTGATGGCGTGTCTCGGCTGAATGGCGTGGATTTACGTCCCTGATTTTGCCTGCGCTCCTCCCGCGGTTTGTCTGGATGCATCCTGACTTCGTACGGGAAGTTTCCACGTAGCTCGTACCACCGTTGTAGTACAGTCTGGCGCATCTCAGGAGTGAAAAGAATGACCCTGAGCAGTTTAGGCGCCTGTATCTGCGAGAGGTGAGCTGGCCTCGGCAGCCGGTGAACAGACCACGCCCCCACAGTTGTCCACTGATAGGTTAAGCTGCGACCGAATATAGCACCACTGCTGAACATCGTGGCGGGATGATTCAACCGGGTCGGCAGCGTGGAATTTTGGGACACCGTGTATAATTATACTGCAAGCTCTATCGTGGTTTGCGCACGTGCTGTTGATACGCGCCTCTCTTCTTGCCTCCCTCACAACCCAGGGAAAGTCTGGCTGGGCGAGGATCTTTGTGTTCAGTTTATTCAAGCAAGCCGATTCCAAGAGCGTTTTCTCGACGTCATCAGCACTTTCCAGAGTGAGGCGTAACGGCCTTGGGCGTTTGTCACCTGGTGAGCGGGGTGCGCGTAGACGGCAGAGAGAGGGCGAGGAGGTAGGCGGCAGCCCAAGGAGTTGCCGCAAGGATTGCTATTGGGAAAGATCGGCACTGGCTCTGTGGGATAGTGACGGGTGGTCGCACTCGTCCACATTGAACAGTATCAAAGTTTTGCGGTTGAATTCTGGCAAGCCACTGCTCCGAGGCGTATTGGTGCCTTGGCTGCATTGTGAGGGACTCGGCTGTGTAACGTGTGTGAACTGGGGACCTGGGTTCTCCTGCGATTGCATGGCGCACTGAGTGTGCCTGGCGCAGATTTTAGCACGGGGTATGTCCTTCGATTGTTTGGGGGGCTGGCTAGCCGAACAACCTCCTCGGGGTGCCAGCTGGGTGGTTCGGGTTTTATCCGTTCCAGCAAATAGTTCGGCGGCAGTGTTCCAGGACGTGGTGGGTTTTCGCCTGGCAAGCGTTCTCCCTATAAAAAGCCACAAATGTCTGCTTAACTACACTGTGACGTGGCGGATGTGACTCGCCACAAACTAAAGTCACTGGCCCGTGGATGTCCGGAAAGTGCTATCCAACCCACAGACATCAATCGCATATACTCACATTCCTGAGGATAACAACCAGTCAAAAAGCTGTGGAATATACAAAGACACAAGCTACATTCATGCACTAGTACATACGTATATACACCCATACACGCTGGATATCCGGAAAGTGCTATCCAACCCGCAGACATCAATCGCTTATGCTCACACTCCTAAGGATAACAAACAGTCAAAATGCTGCGGCATATTCAAAGACACAAGCTGCATTCATACAAAATTACATACGTATATACACCCGTAAAATAACATACACTGTTATGCAAACATGTACTTTTTGTACATTTGTGATCACACTAAGTTAGCTAAACTTGATCATGCCTGTAAAGGTGTGCCTCGCCTTGTCGAGAATAAAAAATTGATTTATTTACATTTGCACTGTGGGATTTCGACACTGGTTCCTGTGGTCTGCTCACTTGCTGGCGAGTCATCCGTTAGTTCTCGGGTGTTGCTCCCATTTGTAATCAGAAACGGATGCGGGTCGCGTGGAGGAGAGGAGCCAAGGATCATAGGTATGGTGTCGTCCAGCTCCTGTTCACTGGAGACTGCTCCTGCAGGCAGGGGTCTCTTGGGCAAACAGTCGAAGCCTCGAGGTTGTGGTGAAGATGTAACTGAGATGTCGACTGATGCCAAGTCACGAGTATCAACGCCTACGTTTTCTACTAAAACGCCAGAAGGCAAGTCACAAGTGTCGACGCCTTTAGATGTGGACTTCGTCGAGACTTGCAAATCCCTGCAGAAGTTTCTAAAGGCTGCCACAGCTAGAGAGCCAATAGGGCTGTTTTTGAAGCCCCTGTGAAGTAACTCTGCGCAGTCATTGCAAACCCACAGCTTTGGTATGTGAAGTGTAGAAGTCCACCTACGGCTGTGTGAGTTTAGCACAGCGCCCGTGGTACTGTCACTTGCAACAAAGACAGCGAACATGTGGTGGCGACTCGGAGTGACAATCATAGCATGTACTGTGACGTGCAACTGTTGGCATCGGGACCTTGATCCGATGGTGATA